ATAAGAGACGATCAGCAAACTGCATGACACCCTGGAAAATGACAAAAAATTTGATATACCACTGCTGAAAATTTCATTTCTTAGTGTTTAAACCTTATATTTTAACATAAAATTGCTGTAAATATTTATTTAATAAATGAAACTGTTATGAATTCAGTGAATTTGGTAATAACGTAAATCGCTTATTAACTTAAAATTCGAGAAACTAAAATTTTTGCTAATGTTTATTAAAACAAAGTATATCGTTAAAGCCCACACAACTTTATTTCTGAGAAGCATGGTAATTAAACAAAATATCTTTTGAATTTTTTTTTTCTAATCTCGCAGAAAATCAAATATTTTGAAATTAACAAAATTAAAGATGACCAATTGTATTACGTTTATATTATATTTTCTATTTGTTTTTGGTTACCATCATAATATCATTATTTTTGAACCATTCAATTATAAAATTTTGTTTTGACAAAAAATTAAATTTAAAAAAAAAATCATTAAAATTTTCATAATAAAATTATTTACGGTGAACGGTCATCAACTTACCAATTTAAATTTGTTAGATTTTACTACTATTTTAATAATTTCAAAAAATATTTGGCATAAGGAATGCTACGTCTTAGGCGATTATGTTAATGGATTTTGTGTATTACCTATGTGTGTATATACAATTTACAAATCATTGTAAATAAAAGTGTGTAAAATAGTATGGAACAAAGTAGATTTTAAACAGTGTATATGATCTGCTTTGTAATATAGAATAAGATTTTGAATTGAAGACGTAAATTATAACGAACACTTATTTTGAAAATGAATCTACAATATTCATGCAAGCCAACATTTTAATTGTAAGCAAATTCTATTGTTATCATGGGTTTAACACCAACAACTTTATCAAAAGTAAATAAATTAATTAATACAGTTTCCTTTCTTTTGTCTAATAGCCTATACCAAACTGCGTTTAAAATTTATTCACAAAAAAGAATTTTAACAAAATAAAAAATTTTGCTTTTGGTTTTTTTTATCCAACTTCATCCTTCCAGGAACAAGGGAACAGGAACAAGGGGAGAAACCTCATAGGGCCGGTGGATGATATTGTAGACAACCATGAACAGGTTTCTTGAAACATTAAGTTTTACTATGTAGGTGAGGAGCATATACTTTAGTTTTTTCCGCTAAATTTTAAAACTTTTTACTTAATCTTATAATAGCCTTTAAGCATTTGCTTTTTAAACTATAGATATTGCAAATCTAAGATTCCCGCATATTCACCATGAAAATACCATAAAATCATTAAATTTTCTTTCTCTTTTTTTTTTTAATTTTTCTGAAATTTAATATTAGATTAAATCATTAGACATGCTTAGACTTGCTTTCAATTTGTTTTTAATTAAAATTAAACCTAATTCTTGTATAATATTTTCTTATGTTATACTTAAATATTTGAAAGTTAAATATATTATAATAATTATTATTCGTATATTAATTAAATATTTAAAAAATTGCTTCAAGCAATTCAATTTACAGTTGACTCATTAAAATGAAAATAAACATTTATGTCGTGATCCATGATCTGTTTGGTAATCATGATAATTTAGTAATATTATATTTTTAAATGTATATGTATATGCACATGGTTATACCGTAAATTAATTCAATTTTTTCTTAAAAAATTAAAATTAAAATCGTAATCTTACATTTTAGCTATTTTACTTTTTTAAATATCTATGATCATAGTTGGCAAAATGTTATCCTATATAATAAAAGCCTTCTTTAAAAATATTAAAATATTCATTTGGGCTGAGGGAAATACATATTTAATTATGTATGCTTATAAGTATACATACATACTTAGGCCATGATATCATATTATAAAACGTGACTCTATAAAAGCATAAAATAGAAAGTTGGTTTTTTTTTTTTTAAATTAAATAATGATGACTTTATTAAATGATCTTAATTAAAAATTTACACCACCGCAAATTGTAATTTGATATTCTATATTATTATTTATATTTAATGTCCTTTTTGTGAAGAAAAGTAAAGCATTTAATATACTAAAGGCAGAATTGTAACCTATTCGAAATTAAAATCTTACCAAATAAAGAAAAAAGGAACTAAAATAAATAAGAATACATTGTTGTCACGTTTATACCCGTATAAATGAATGTATGTCTGTTCGTCCTTGCGATAACTTAAAAACTAACAAGTTTAATTCAACAAAATGCCACAAAGCTATTTTGATTGAATGTGACTGATGCTGCATTTCGAAAGTCAATTGACTCTGTCTCAAAGATATTTATTGAACCCAGTAGTATTAAAATTCCGGGAAAGCATATTTAGTTTTTTAAACTATTTATTAAAATTCGTTGAAATTGGATGACTCGTTATTAAGTGATGTTTTATGGTAATATGGCCATTATTTTTTGCTAAAAGTTTTTGAGATGGTATAAGTTTATATTAAAAAAACAAAAAGTTGTATGTGTCAGTGTAACAATCATATCATACAACTCTTAAAATCATTGATTTGTGCGATTAACATATAATTGACACGATCAACACTACTTTTTTTCATTTTAAATTAAATTTTTACTAATAGTACTTCTGTCTGTAAGGAAAATGAGAACAAATGCCAAAACAGAAAAAAAGAAGAAACATGTAATTAAACGAAAAATGAATAAACAATTTTTGCGTGAAAGCACCAAAAGTGTATGGCAACCCTGACTTTAGGATTAATGCTCTAATAGATTAATGCATAATGCCGCATAATAAAAATTTTATATTTTCATGTTGTACATATTAAGTTGAACTAAATTAAATTTAATACTGTCTAATATTGTGTTCCAGTATAATTTATTAAGTTAAATTTTGATAAAGAAAATTTTAAAATTATTGTCATACACATGAATGCTTAAAGCAATTTGAAACAAAATTATAATTGGACATTTCTGTAAATTTTATAAATACTATATTCTCCTTAAATTGCTTTAAATCCATGTCGAAATTCCGGGGAGCTACATCCTTTAAATATAATGTAGAGAGCATGTTTAAAGAAAATTGTAAGAAGATTATTAATCTAAATCTATAATCTAGAATTTGTACATTTCAAAAATTGTGATCACTGGTCATTTTATTATAAAAAAAAAATCTTGTTTTCATCCGATTATATAGAAACAAATCATATGTGTGTTTGCACTTCATTTAATAAAATTTTCAATTTTGATTGATTTAAAACACGAATCTTTATAATAAAAGGTTCCTTTAACATAAATGCATTATTGTCATTAAAAAATTGTGTTGACATATTACATGCATATTTAAGAAAATGTAAAAAAATGGTATCTCTTAATCACGATTTATTTGTTTATTACTTGATTGGCACATCTATTAATTTGAGAGACAAATTTTTTAATTGTTAAATGCAAATTAGTAATAATTATGTTAATTTAAGAAAAAATCATAGATATTTAATAAAAAAAATATAATTCAATTTTATTTCCATAATTACTGATAATTTTCATCATCAATTAAAGCAATGAATATAATTTTAATTGATAATTCTGTAAAAAATAACATTTTAGCATTGGGATAATGAATTATGCTTAACAGATTTATAATAGCATAACAAACAGGTAGCAGGTTTTCTCTTATTCTTTATTTCAAAAATTTCTCAAGAAAAAACTTGATTGTGAACCAACAAAATTAAGAGCCTGTTATCTCTGAACACAAGTATTTTATAATACCAAACAATTCATTTTTGGTATTTAGGGTATCATTATCTTAAAAATTTACTAAATTAAAATTCAAAATTCAAGAAAATTTTTTAACAAATTAACATTATTTTTATAAACATTGTCCAAAACAGAAAATTTTCCGTGCACATTGTTGCTAAACATTTTCTTTTCTGCGTATATAAAATTTTTGTATATAAAAATCCGTTTTTATCCACTTTACTTGAACAATTTGGGAATATTTTCTTCATATTTTTCTTACTGTTAAAAATTCTTTAAAAATTAAATAAAATGCTGTTAATTCACTTTTAACCTGTTATAATTAAAACTCTACATTTTATTAACATTTAACAGGTTGGTTTAAAATTTCGTGAATAACAGAATACATTTAAAAGAAAACAAAAAAAGTTAGTGAAGTTTATAAACATTTTATAGCAACATTTTTGGTTTAAAAAGAAAAACATGTAATTTAACAACGGAAATGTTAAAAATAAGAGTAGAGCAGATATGTTACCTGTATATCCAACGTTTTTAACTACCTGTAAATATTTTTCTCATATTTGGTCCAGTAGTTTTTTAACTGTTGAATCGTTATGATCGTTTTATTTAGAATAACGGAAATAAATTTTTTATGTAAAGAAAAGAAAATTTTGGATTATTTTCTTTTTTTATTCTTATACTGAATATCGGTAAAATTTTTTTTTTTTTTTGTGGTTCATAACTACTTTTGAATTAATGGATTAATAATAATTGTTAATTTTTGTTTTCCTTTTAATTTTAATTTGTATATTTGTAAATAATTTATGAAATAGAATATAAAAAATATTTTTTAAATATTAAAAAAAATTAAATACAGGAAAATTATGAAAAATTAAAAATATTTGTGTTTTTAATAATAAAAAGAGTTAAAAGAAGAAAAGAGTAGAAAAGTGAAAAAAAAAAACAAGGAAAATAAAATAATTTTTACGTTAATTGTGTTGCGTATATTTCGTTCGTTCGTTTTTAATATTCACGAAAGGATATTTCGTTGCGGTCACGCGATTTATTACTTTCGGTACTACCTTTTAAAAAATATTATTATGGAGCGTAAACCGCTATAATTTTATATGTGCATAGCGTGTAACTATAGTTTTAACTATAGTTAAAAAATAATTATGTAAAATTTGTAATGTAAATGTTTTTGTTGTTTAAAAATTTTTTCAAATAATTTTTTTTTCGCTTTTTCTGGAATTTGTTCAAAAAAAAAAAAAATATTTAACATGAATTGATAACATGAAATGATTAAAAATATTGTTATTCATAATACATGTAAATATAATTTGATCATTATTTATAGCAGATGTATATAAAGGATAAGCATCAAAATATGTAATTTTGTACTAATAAAATGAAATTTATTACAAAATATTTTAAGAAACCAATAAATTAATAATTACTTGATGGTAAACGCAATATTGTCGGTGAAACTTCGAAAAGATACCATACAAAATGGATAATAATAAAGAACGGGAGCAATGATGACAATATTAATTAATTTTTATATTAAGAGATAAAAAAAAGAAGACGATTTTAAAATTTAAAAATATAAAAAAAAATTAATAAAAAATTTTTATTTTTTTAAAAATTCCAAAATAGAATTATGCAAAATAATGTTAACACAAGCGATAACTTGCTAAAACTTCATTTTGTTAGTAAATTATTACAATATGAAGTTATATTTTTCATTTATTTTAATTTTATTAATATGGATAAACAAAGTACAGTAAGTTTATAATTTTATATAAAATCTTAATTATTTCATCCTTCATTATGTATAATATGCATGAATATTAATGATTTCAAGCCAACATACTTCTTATAAACAAAATGATCGGGATTCAAAAATACTTGATTCCAAACATACTATGGTAACAGAAATTTTTCATTCAATATAATTCATATATTCATGAACTGATTGGTTAGTTGATTGGCAAAAATTTTCCGCAAGAAAAAAAAAATTTTGACCATTTTCAAATTAGAGTTGAATAATATTGTTGTTTAAAATTTATATAAATAAATCGCGTATATTTGATCAGTTTATTATTAAATATGGGTTTATGTTGAATATTTAGAAGAGCTCTGTTTAAAAAGACAAAAATCTCATTAGATGAAATGAATATTTAGATATATAAAAGAATAAACGTTCTAAAATTTAACAATTTTCCAATATTTGTTAGAAGCCGAATATATTGTGTACTTTTCATAAATTATTTATTTTAGTAAATTTTGTAATTTCAATTAATAAACATAAGAATTGAATTAATATCAATTTCTTATCGGACTCATATTTACCGGGTTTCTTATAAGAAAAACGTTCCTTAATTGTAATTATAAGAATAACATTTAAACATCGTTTTATATACAGTAGAATATCGGTTATAACGTATACTCAATGGACAAGAATAAATTAACCGTATAACCAATTTTCGTTATAACCGTTATACAAATAAAAAATATTTATTATTTACTTTTTAAGTTTTATTATTGTTTTATTTACTCTTGAAATTAAAATTAAAAATTAAAATGAAATTTAAATGAATATGACATTTTTAATACTTTGCCAAAATAGAAATTTCTCTCAAGCAAAAGGAAAATCAATGAAGGGAAAAATTTTACGTCAAAAACTACTTTAGATACGTACATTATGTAAAAAAACCAGATATCGCTTAAACAGAAGTATTCATTATAATGAATTTAATTTCCTATATTAACAGGGATGTCGCTGAAAGATACGCTATAGCCAACTTTTCGTAAAGACCGATTTCGTTATAAGCGTAATGAAGTAAACTTTGTAATTGTTTTTATTCATAACCGATTTCAATTGTATTATACTATAATATTCATTATATTTATGTACTGTTACTGTTATATATATTACACATCTGACTTTATACGACTTTAATTTTATGATTACTCGTATCTCTTCCATGATAATTACTTAAATTCTTTGAAAGCAAAATGTACTACAAGAGCTATTAAAAAGAACTCAAAAAATTAGCTCGATTATATGAAGAAAGAAAAATTTTTCTACATACACCAACATCAAATCATGTATACAGGAACCTACCGCTGAGGTTTGTGAAATGTAGAATACAATTAACTAGATCAAATCGATCTAAATAAATGTTACAATTGTTTTTAAAGTCTTTATTTTAATATCAAATTTTCTTTTAAATGTTCTGAAGTTTAATAACTAATTTTCTCGAAATAAATCATTATGCTCTTTTAAATCAAAGAGGCAAAAACTTGCATATATATTCTTAATTATTGTAAATTTTATTCAAAATTATTCAATAAATTCTATTCACACTGAATTTATAATTAATTACTGCATAAATAAATTAATTATTTTATATGCTTTTTTATATGCGCGCGGTTTATCAGATACAAGATCTTTTACAAACTTTATAAAATTATTTTTAGTTCTATTAAAAATTTATTAGCTATCGAAATCATAAAAAAATTTTAAATATTTTTTTTTTTGTACAGGGCTATATTATATATACGTATTAGGGCTATAAGTTTTAAAGCTTTCTTATCTTTGCTAGTCTTTTATTTTGATTTATTTTAAAATTCCAAACCTACACAAATTCTATTTTTCTTTTTTAATTTACTCATTTTGAATAAAAGTTAATTTTAAATTAAAGTTACACTTAAAAGTTGATTTATAATAATTAAAAAAAATAAAAATAATGATTTTTCGTTCCGACTGATTGCTGTTCTCACTACTTAAATGGTGTACAAAATAAGTATGTACGTATATATACGTATAATGTTCCATATATATGTATTCAAAATAGAACTTGCTTATATGTAGGTACACTATATATTTAAATGTTTTATTAAGAACCTATCGTTTTCTATTACTATTATATTGTGTTAGTACAGATATCTTTTAACCCCATTAGAGATATTTACAATTCACCTATAAACCGATTAACTTTGAAGTTAAATTTGAGAGAAAAAAAAAGTAAAGTTATAATCGCAAATAACCAATAAATCTCTGGAATTCATTAATCATATTTCATTTTCTGTTTTTTTTCTTAAATATATAGTTATATATATTACCATTTTAATTTTCAATTATGTCATTTTAAGGTTCTTTTTTTTTTAACTTCGAATGGTTTATATATTTTTTTAAATATGCATCTATGGATGTAATTGTAATATGTATAAAAGATTTGAAAATTTATTGGAGTTGCCACATTTTATAAAATTTTTTTACCGGAAATCTTAATTTGACTTCTGCACAACTAAACTATTCAAAAAATCAATATCAGAATGACTTAGTTTAGTTGAATAGTCGAGTTCGTCATTACACCATGACATACGCTAGCAACATTTTGAAATTTTTCACATTATTTAACAAATAGCATTCAATGTAACATTCCGGACTCATTAATTTTTTAAGAATGTTTCATTTTTGCTGATGATGGATTCTAAATTTCAAATATATTCGATATAATATTTGAGGCGCTCAGCGCATTAGTGTCCTACTTGAAAAAATTACATTTTGAGTAAATTGCGATTGAAATGTTAAATTTTTAATTTTTAAGAAAATTTTTAAAAGCAAAAACGAACTTAATATGTCAAAATAGAGTAAAAAGAGAAGTAAACTAAATATTTTGAAAACATAAAATTACAGCTCATTACAGCCCATTTTTGCATAATAACTCATTTTTATAAAAATGTTGAGTAGGCCACTAATGCGCTAGGCGCCTCATTTAAGTTAATAGAACTTGGATCTTTAATAATTCACTTTTGTTAGTTAAATTTTTGTCTGATTTTTAAAGTCTAGAAAGATATTTTAGGCGTATCTATTCAAAACTTCACATTCTGAACAAGTTTTTAATTAAAAATAATTAATTTCATATAATATTATTGATATAGAATGGCAATCCTTATTTGGAATTTCTTATATGATATTTTAAAATGTCAGAGAGCATTAATAACAAATTGAAATATGATCAGGGAATGAAATTTTATTTAGTCATTTTAATGTCTTTTTCCTTGTAGGCAATCGCCAATCGTGTAGGTATATAATATGACTACACATTTTAAATGGATAGCTTATCAATGTTGAGCGTTCTGTTTATTGTAAACACAAGTTTTTCAATCTATATTTATTTTAAAATTTTTTTAATGAATAAGTTTTTTGTTTAAAAAACATAATTTTCTAAGAATTTTTGCAGTAAAATTTTTGCTTATTCTTAAAAAGCTGAACGTTTATACAAGTATAAAAGTTTATTTATTGTTTCTTTAACCTAATTTTGTTAAACAAGTGTTTTGTACCACATTAGAGTTTATAGTTCAATTTAAAATATTAATATATTTTGAGAAAAATATACATACTTATATTGAACAGTGATTTGTTTTTTTTTTTTTGTTATACATCCCCTTTTATGACGACTAACACTATATTTCAAGAATATTTACTTGAATTTAAAATTATGTGAAGACAAGCATTAATAAATTTGTGTATTTCATTTTTGCAGCATTATTAACTTTTAAGAGAAAATTTCCCAATTTCTAAATGTTGTAGAAAAACACTTTGATTTGTAATGTCATTTCCATGATATACATAACTTGTATTATAGTCTAACTGATCTATGTACGGAGAATATTATGTAGGTTTTAGTTATAAAGCAATTGGAATCACACAATAAATACGTTTAAGAATACACTTTTTTCATGCATTAAAATCGAATATACTGCAAGTATGAATATTGTAGCATAAAGTTTTGGAATACACATAATTATATTGCGATCTTATGTACATAAAAATCGAAAATATTAATTTCTTAAGGTTACCGAAGTGATACTCAGGGCTTGATCGTCTATCACACTATTTTACTCTGCAAGTGAGAAGAAAGTGAGTAATTATCATATACATATTTGTATAATGTATTAAACAAGTAAGACGAGTTATTCGGCATTACGTATCTTGTTTTTTTCTAAAATAATTACATAATTTATTCACTCTGTTTTTGAAAAAACCCAAAAATCCAATTGAAAAAAGGAGTAACCTTATTGGAAACCTAAAATATTCATTAGGAAAACGGAGAATTCTAATTTGAAAATCAATGAAAAATTAGTAAAAAACCGAAATTCTCGATTAGGCTGTTAATCTGCCAGTATCAGTTGAAAATCTTTTCACAATCGTATTTTTTACATCTGTTATATTGCAGTAAATTAAAATATAGGAACGTATATTGGAATCGTTGCAATCGGTTGTAATATGATTAGTCATAAAAGTGTAATTTTGTAATTATAATATGAAAGTCTACAACATTTTTTCATATCAATATTAAAATAATTATAATAATTATGTAGAAATTTTTCTCTACAATATTATTACAAAATTAAACATTATTTATGGAATCAAACTGCGACATTAAAATATATTTCGACACTTAAAATTAACACTTGTAAGAGTAGCTACTAAATGCTATAAATCGTTCAAAAAAAAAAAAACATTAAATTTTAAATTTAAAAGTGTGTCTAAAATTTTAATAATAAATTTATCACTAAACTGTTAATGTCATGTTTTTATGTCTGACTAAATATTTTGTTAGAAATTTTACCACCTTATTATGGTCTCTAAAACATAATTCTATACTATTAAAATTGCTTAAATTATAACTTTTATTGATATTTAGTAATCAAATTATAAGTTATGATCCAATAATTTTTAAAGTAGTAAAATTTTTAAAGTAGTTTTTT